GCTATTGTCTAATTAGCATATAAGTTACAAAATTAAAATTTCACACTATTGAAACATGTTTCACAATTTGAACATGACCAATCATAGCTTCGGACAATTCCAGATTGTGGATTTTGTCGGACATTTCAGAAATTTGCATGCTGGGCGAAACTAGTATCGCCCAAATTTCGGATTCAGATTTGGCAAAGCACAATTATTTAGATTATGTTGCACATTTAAGATTTCGGGTTTTGCTCCAGATTGTGGGATATATTACGACTTGCAGCCTTATTTCTACATCAGTGCCTGAATACTGGAATATTTTCAGCACAGTCGTCTACAATATATATATATATATATATTTAGTTTCGGAAGTTTCGGTTTCGCCCAGTTTCGGAGGGTTTCGCCCGTTTCGGAGGTTTCGCCCATTTCGGACGTTTCGCCAATTTCGGAGGTTTCGGATTTTGGGCGAAACCGAAACTCCAGAGCCGAAACGTTTCGGACCTTGGGGGAGGTTTCGCCCGAAACACTGTTTGTCAACTTGAAAATGTTCCAGAAATAAAACCAGTTCTAGATATAGATACTAGATGGAATAGCCGTATTTAATGTTAAATAAATTTTTACAAATGAGAAATCTTTTAGATATTCTTGTAGCTAAACATTGAGATCTTTTATCATTATATTTGCAAGATGATGATTGGGATAGACTTAAAATAATGATAGATATTCTTCGTCCAATTTTTGATGCAACAGAAATTCTATCTACTTCAACATATCCAACTATAAGCGATGTTAGATTAACTATATTTGGATTAATTCGTCACCTTACCTTGATCATTTTTTAGAAGAATCTTATCCAGATGATGAAAATTATTTATTCGTTGAGTCTATTAATTCTAAACTAAGAGAATATTGGGATTATATAGAGGAATCAACAACAATAAGCACATTGTTAGATCCACGATCAAAAACAAAAACATTTAAAACTACTGAGCAGCATGAAAAAGCTATGAATATGTTACAAAATCAAATAAAAAATTATACTAGTAATCAACAAAATCGTGTAGTTTCAAATATAAAAAAAAATAAACGTTTATTTTTTGAATCACTTTTAACTGAACAAAGCGGTGGTCCGTCTATTGAAGATGAAGTTACAAGATATATTACAACGTCTGTAATTTGTATACTAAAAATCCTTTAGACTGGTGGCGTCATCATAAAGCTAAGCTATTTATATATTTTATATTAATTAATATAAATAAAAATTTAATTACAAATTTATTTATAAAAATACAAGATGATTTTCCAGTTCTTGCAACAATGGCTTCATACTACTTAAGTATACAAGGTTCAAGCGTTCCATCAGAGCAAGCATTCTCAATGGCTGCTTATGTAATTACTAAGATACGTTGCAATTTAAAACCAGAATCAGCTCGTGCTGTAATGTGTTTAAAAAGTTGAATTTCTAAAGTTAGTGATAAGCAAGATAATAAATGTGATTTAGAAGCAGAAATTTTATCTGAATCATAAAAATAATATATATTTTATTGATTTTTTCTTTTTTAAATAGCGAATCTCTTTCTATTACATATTTTTTCTATACAACACAAAAACATTATAACAATTATATTTCTATATTATACTGGCATTTTTTACGGTTTAAAAAATCTTTTGTGCTTTCTATTTTATTTCTTTAAATATAAATTGTTTAGTGCTTTGTGTTAAATATATATATCTTTTTGCGTATTTTTATTTCAATATTATAACTACTTTATTAAATAAATGTAAAGATTATTAATATGAATTAACATACTTCGCATGGCAATATTGGCAACGACTTTTGAATTCAAATTTCAAAAAAGCACAAATAACGTACTTGCCAAATATATTACTAACTAATTACCAAAAGTCAAGTAATAATTGTACTTATCTTGATTTTTATAGTACGTATTGGGTTTGTGACCATTAGACTGATAACAGTTTTTTTTTTTATCAAAAATATTAAGCGTCAGAATTAGCTATCCAATTTAAATTATGCTTTGTATAATATATAGTATATTATAATCGTTGCTAAAGAAATGCCATATAAGTTTACGTATTTATTTATACCAGGAACGGAGTGATGCAATCACGAAGTGTATGGTTACTATGGCATTTTTAATGGTGTACGTCCGCAAAA